TGAACCCAAGATATGAGACAAAATTAATATGAGAATGAGTTTGAATATAAAGAACAAGAAAAAAGAGGATAACTGAATTACAAAACTGCTGTGATATTGTTGAAACTAGAAATATTATACATTTGCTGTTTATAACGGTAGTTTTTTACCTTTTCCATCGAAATGGCAAGTTAAAATATTTGCCAAGCAGCCCAAGCTTTGGCAAGCTAGAATTTAAAAAAAAGTATTAAAAGAAATAAAACTTTCGTGAATCTTACCTGAAAACAAGAAACATAATAATCCTTCGAGTGAATTGTTTCATCTACAAGCAGACTAAAAACTTAAAACTAACACACTTTTTCCTTGACTGCGAAAATATCAAAATTTTCGGTCGAAACTCGAAAATTATGACCAAAATTTTTGCAAAAACCAGGGGGGTGAAGGATTTTATTTCAAGCGCAGGATCGCGGTTGGTCAGTGGTAATTGCCATGAGCCGGAGGAACCAATTGGCGTCAGCAAACATGAAAATCCGCCATGTTTTTCCGGACACTCGTTTGACTGACGGATAGATAGGAGCACGTCCTCCAGTAATATTATAGCTCAGTGGGCGGAACTCGCGGCGATTCCTTTGTTCTTTGTGTCCCCATGCAACGTCATTTCCACGCGCCACGCAAATTGCTCTGGCAAGTCAAAAGTGTCATTCGTCGTGTTTTCAGTCAAAAGCATAGGAAAAACACCGTTCGAAAGTAGAAAAATAAATATTTTTGCGAAGTTGCTCCACCGATCTTCATTTTGGATCTCAAATTTGAAAGATAAATGGTAAGTGGTTATTTTTATGTAAAAAGATATATGTTTATAGGCTAAATACAAAGAAAAAAAAACAGTATAAACTTTGTACTGCATGGCCATATTTTACAATCTCGGTGCTTGTCATGTTCTGCCAAGAAGCAGATTCCCATTTCGCTAAATTAATGGCCAAACGTATTGCTTTCCTGTCTTTTACATTAATAAGAAAGCATAGGTGCTGATTTGAAACACTTCCATTGCACACTTCCATAAGGTTCCATGTAGCTTTGGGATTTGTGAGCAAAAATTAAAAGTTAAACTACCTACGTTTTTAATACTTTCTGTGCAACTGTTGAGCACATTCACAAATGTATTCTCCAAGAAACATTTCTTTACGGATTGTTAATCCGCCTGTACTACTTATGCCTTCAAAAACTAAATAAATATGTGTTCAAATAATGTCTAATAACTCACTCCAAAATAGGCAATAACTGTTTTCTTTATAGTTGACCCCACATGTTGTCATGAAAATTAATACTAAATATGAATAATTGCATTGCATTAATAAAGAGTTTCCATTAAAAGAGAAAGTATTCCCAATTAATCCTTTCCCTGTTAAAGTGTTCTCTCCCCTTGACAAGTAAAATAATCTGGCGTTAGACAGAGTAAAATAATAAAGTAGGATGCATCAGGGCACAATGCAACTCAATGGGTTAACTGGATCATCTGGTGTTAGACAGTAAAATAGTAAAGTAGGGTGCAATGTGACTCAATGGGTTAACAAGTAAAATTGTCTAGCTTTACAGTACATCTTGTACTGAAGTACATGAAGTACTGATGAACTTGTGGCCCTCATAAGGCCTGTTTATATGGTCTCCGAGTGGCAAGGCAAAATTATATTCATGTCCTATTATAGCAACTGCCATGCAAGTGTTTGCATGGAAAATTTTGAACTTGTCTTGTCTAGTGGGATAATCCAGGTAGTAGGGTTACTCCCTCAGGGGGTACAGCATCTCTATTACTCGAGATTAATTATATAAACATTGCCCGAGGCTATGTAAAATTGGTAGGCATTCCTATAAGATCAAATAGTCTCAGGTTTTTCCAATCAGGTGAACAGATTTGAACAAATTAACCATAGTTGTAAGATTCTGCATCTGATTCATTGTAATGAATAATGTAGTTCAACAGGAATGATTTGCAATCTAGAAAAGCAAAATAAACAAAATAAATAAACAGATTAGATCATTACAATAAACATATGTACAGTGACTTGGCATGTCTGAGAAATTGACTTTTGAGAGCCAAAAAAAGGTTATTGCACAATAGCCAATGCACTAATCTAGGGGAATCACTATAAAGTATAATTTGACCAAACCTCCACCACTGGGTTAACATATAAGTTAAATAAAGTCTATTTGAGTACTTTAGAGTACTGTGGCTCCATGTCCTTGACTCCATCAGTCCATGTTGAATGTTGATGTTCATTTTCGTATCTGAATGCTGTTTATGCAATGTTTAAATTAACGACAACCCTTTGATACAACATTGCACTTGACAAAAATATATTGATAATTTGATATATATGAGCTAGAGAAAAAAAACTCACATATAAAGTTGCCAAGTTTCAGCTGGAGTTCAGGTCTACAGAATCGAATCTTCAGATTGCCAGAAATTCTCACTCCTTCGGGTGTCTTTTCTCATTTTCGCCGTTAAAAATGATATTCGTTCAATTCCCTTTTGCTAAGAAGACGCAGTGTGCCATTTATTTGCAAAATTCGTGCAGAAGAAGAAGATTGATCGGTTACTGCGCTTAAAATCGCCGTTTTATTGCCAAAATTTTGCATTTTCCTATCTATTTCCTGATAAAAAATGAGCATGACACTTGCCAGAGGGTCGCGCATGCGCATTAAAAAAGTGGGGACATGATTTGCCTCGAGTTCCGCCTCTGTATATCCTTACCAGTGAACTCTAATAAGAACTGGAAGGCTAACTCCTATGATCTTCTATGATCAAAGTCTATGATTCGTTGAAGCCGGCGCGCGGGAAAATCAGCTTTCAAAAGGACTAAGGAGAGTTTCGAGGAGTGAAAAAAATTCTGCCAAAAGTTTGTTTTCGAGCAAAAATTTGCAAGAAAAACACTTTTTCCATGGGAATACAACAATGATTGGGATTTCAACCAGGTTTTCCGAGTAGTTCCAACTGTTTTACATCTCTCTGCAGCAAAAAGTAAGGAGTTTTGCTTTTGTATTTTGAAAAAATGACGAAAGTTTGGACGTGCCGAAGGAAACCTCGCCGTTCAACTAAAAAATATATACTATAAAACATTTTGACAGTCCCAAAATTTATGTTGTACTAAACCCTAGGTATTGTTATTGATCCTGAACTTTTAGTCCTTGTTTTAGTCGCTTTTAAACATAAATAAATTGGCGTTTTTCAAGTGAGGTTATTTTCGTCATCGGCATCTTGTTGGCCACTATGAGCACTTTGAATATGGCAATATTTTTGTCAATTTTCAAATGCTTTTTTTTCGACCTTAAAACGTTAAATCTTCTTGAAACTTCGCATACAGATGTATTTTGCATGGGTATAAAAAATTCCTGAGGTGTGACGTCTTAGTTTTATCTTAATCTTCCAAAAACTCAGAAAAAGCAGCCTAAAACGCGCGGTTTTTCTGACCGTTCATGCTTATGGCCGTGTTTTTTCGTATTTTTTTGCTAATACGTGATTTGTTTGCTTTGCGAATATTAAATTCATTTATCATACTACTGATATAAATTAAATTTGGTAGTATAACTAATATTTTGGAGCAAGATTTTTCTGATCAAAAAATGTGCATATTTTGAAAAAAAAATTTAAAAAGGACTGGGTCTACCTACAAAAAAAGCTTCAAGCACGGCTTTAACTCCCCCCCCCTGACTTAGCCTTCCAGTTCTTATTAGAGTTCACTGATCCTTACTCTGTGGTTCTGTTGTCAACAGCTTGCGACAGACCTGTTCCCGCAAGCCTGTTACCGCCTGACGAAACCAACAGACCTGTCGCGACTTGTTGACAACTTGCCGCAAGCCGGTAAAATCAATTAACAGCTTGCGACAGGCCTGTGAGATTTCTGGCTGTGTAGAAATAGAACCAATAAAATAAATGTAACAAAGAACAAACTATTAGAGAAAACCATATCAGAAAATTATATTAGCAAAAGATTAGGTGAAAAATTGGTATACGGAAAAAAATCCTGTCAAATGAAACCTCCCGGCACGAATAGTAGCTACTTCGTGAAACTCATTAAGAAAATACAAAAGAAATCATCAGGGCCGCCCAGAGGGGGGGAGGGAGGTGCAAACGGGGCAATTTGCCTCAGGCCCCCATTGGAAAGGAGGGGGGGGGAGAAATTTGCAAAAGGGGGCCCCAAAAGGTGTAATTAAAAAAAATATTTGGAACGTTTTTTGTATAAGTAATTGTATGAGAAAAATTTTCTAGACCTTAATTTTACTGCTACTGGTCCGAAAAAATGTGTTTTAGCCGTGATTTTACAGGTATTTCGCTAATATTTTTGAGAAAAATAGGGCCCCGAATTAAAAATTTGCCCTGGGCCCCCGAATTTCTCTGGTGCGACCCTGGAAATCATGACCGTGAATGAGGTTGTATATCTGATACAAAATCATGCCGATTTATGTACACTTTCAATTCTCTCATCAAATATCATTCATCTATTTTAAACTGTTGAAGAATATGAATGTTTTCATCTTTCGCGTCCGTGGTATATCGCATATGTTACATTTCACCTTCGGCTCGAGTTTGTATATCCGATACAGCGCGGCCTCTCATGTTGTAAATAGCACATCAATGTCTGCTGATGTCGCGCATAGGCAGGTTAGAGTTAAATGTTAGAAAATTACTCGCTGACACCATGGTGGCAAAACGTGCAAATTTACAAATGCGATGTATTTGTTGTTTGAACGGCTTTCAGTGCTACCGGAAATGCGCATGCTCAATACATTGCGGAAGAAGAAAGGTATTTGGTGAGCATCGTCGTATTTCCCTCGGGAATGATACTAAACAACATATTGCGGGATATTTCGACAATGACAATTCCGGTCTATTCGATATGAAAATTCGAGTTTTCCTTGTTTTCTGTTGTCAATCTTCACCGCCTTGCACGAGTGATTGTCTTAATTTAAATTGATTTTACATAATCATATATGTTATTTGGAATTTCGCATAACCTATAGTTCCTTTACCTCATCCAAATTACGGATTTCCCATCTTCGTCCACTTCAAGATTGTGCGCAGAAATTCGGTTATCAAAGTCATCTGAACATTCCTCTATGTTAATAATTTCATTTCCTTCTTTACATGTTTCTTCTGTGGCTTGTGTCGAACCACAAGCTACCCTATCAGGACTACAGTCTACGTCTTCTGGTTTCGATATAACGTCGTTTTCTTGGTGTTTATTCCCTGCTTTTATATGCGGTGTTTCCTCAATTTGTTCACGGTTTTCACATCGTTCCAATGAGGTTTGAGAAGCATTGCACAAGGCAGGAACATCAGTAGCCTCATTGCTTAAATCCGACGCACCTTCCGACGCTGACGTCACTTGACTTTCCTGAGTTGTTTTTGGAGACTCTATGTAATCTTCGTCAAATAGATCCTCCACTGACTTACATTCACTAGCTGGACTACTGGGATTACTAAGGTCACTGGTATATTTAGTTAATAGTGGCATGGATTGTGTATCATTTGGAATTTCTCGAGTTTCACTGTCACTGTTTAGATAGATAGATAGATAGATAGATAGATCATCCCTAACTTCCTCAGGTCTATCTGCCATATCCTCAGTAATATCATTGTCTTTGTCATAATCTACGACATTTCCATCGATATTCTTATCATTGGCATGCGCATCGTCTTTTTTCATTATACGATGTTTTCTTGACATAGACCTGCCGGGAGGTTTCATTGGCGTTTTACCAAAGTCACGCGTCTTGGTCAGATTTTTCTTCACATCTGGTATTATTACTTCTTCGAAATCATCTGCCTCTAAAATGAAAATATAATAATCCAACATCCGCAAAATTTTGAGTAAGTAAAAGGTTAGGTAAACGAAAAACAAAACAACTCAAGATTTGGGTAATAAAAATTTATTGTCATTTCCAAAGCATGACCCACTGAAATATTGGAGACTGAAAAGCAATGTCAGCAGTCATTTGTCAATACAATACATGAATCAATCTTTATCATTTTGACAAGACAAATGGTGTTTCCAAAGAAAGTGAATGTGCAAACAACATGAAACTTTAGACTGCAGAAAATTTCACAAGCCGTTATCAAACTCGTGTCATAGAAGTGGTAAAAGACATGTGTGACAACTGAATGGTATCCTTTTGTAAAGTTTTTGGCCAGGGGTGGGTAATTATTTTTCAATTTATATTTGAGGTTGGGTAACCAATTTTTTGTCTTTTTAATGGTTGGGTCAGCAAAATGTTTACCACGATGCCACCCCCACCATAAATAATGACCGGTCCCTAAATAATATGAAGGCTCCTGATTGATAGGCATGCAACTACCTGAAGAATCCAAGGAGAACTTCGACGTTTCGAGCAAAGACCCTTGGTCGGGAAGTTAGCTAACTTCGAAGTTCTCCTTGTATTTTTCAGGTAGTTATACATCCCCATCAACTTTCTTGTTATGGGTACTACCAGGGGCGCCGGAGCCACGGGGGCAGCGGGGGCAGCTGCCCCCGTTGCCTAAACAGAGCGGGGGCAGCAGGTTGCCTTTTTTACCAGAACTGCACTTCGAACGTCGTGCGTTTTTCATATGAATTGAAATTGAAAACTGTTTTTAAACAATTTAGTTCATACTTGAATCTGAATTCCTCTCAGAAACGTTACGAATTAGTTTCCGCCTAATATGAAAAGAGTAAAAAAGGAAACCTTCCTAAATAACTGATAACTGTCATTTTGCTTTACAATACATTTTAGTCTTTAGTGTCATGCAACGAAAAATATTTTCCAATCTATGCCGAAATTTGTCTAACTGTATTAGGTACCAGTAATGAAGTATCCGTTATACAGCAAAATGTTAACGAGCATTGCCTCCCCCCGCACAAAAATTGAGGCTCAAGAGTAAGTGCCCTTTTTACATGGCTGCCCCCGCCGCTTCATGTTGCTTCCGGCGCCCCTGGGTACTACCTACACTGGCACAGACAGCTCTAGTAATATACAATTACTTTATGGTTTCCGTGTTTGGATGGCCTGATCCAAACACGCGGGAATGTTGCGAGAGTTAAGAAAAGCGCGCGAAACACGAGCCGAAGGCGAGTGATTTTGCGCGCTTTTTTAACTCGAGCAACATTCCCAAGTACGTGTTTGGATCAGGCCATCCAAACACGGAAACCATAAAGTAATTGTTTCATAAAATAACAACTTTCTGTATTAAATTTTCACTTTAAAAAACTTTCACTTTAAATCTCCGTCTTTGACTGGCCTGATCCAAACACAGGTTTCAACCAATCAGGGCATGCGTTATATACATGTTATTTTATAAACGGTATTCCTCAACGGTGGCAAAGTCAGCGCGACAATTTGGTCATGCTATGCAAATTTTAAATCATTATCATTATTCATTTCTTTACAAATTGATTGTTTTCACGGTGTATGAACACGGAAATATTTGCATAGCATGACCAAATTTCTCAATGATTTGTATCCGAACTACCTCAAAAAATGCATGAAAGCTACATAAAAAACTCTGTGGTCTAAACTACACCAAACAATGTTGGATTTCTTAGTTAATACATAAAAAACTCTGTGGTCTAAACTACACCAAACAATGTTGAATTTCTTAGTTAATACATTAGGCATCCAGGATATCTTTATTTTCAGATTCATTTTTTGTTAGAATCTCTAATTTATGGAATGCTTTACCGGACAATCTAAAAGATAAACTAGCCATTCATCTTTTAGGGAAGACTGTGTCAATTTTACATTGACAAGAACTTCTTTTTAGTGACAATAATTATGAAAACGTATAAACTAGAACGTCTGTCCTAAATGTCCTGATGTATAAATGTTATAAAAAACTTGTAATGCCAGCAGGGCTGCAAATAAATGTTTGACTTGACAGGACATTTGTCCGATCACTTTTAATTTTGGTCAGACATAACTTGAATTTGGTCGGACAGAAACCAACATCACTAAATTTGGTCGGACATATATATGTCACAAAATATATATAATCACGAGACAAGTATGTATAGCCATTCCGGCGCAACGTTAATTAAAATGCTAGAATGCTTTATTGCAAAATAGTTGGGCTTAATAGTTTAGGTTTTATAATTGTCTTTATTAGCTTATATATTAATTTTTGTGGTGTTATAAGCGAGCTTAAGCGAGCGACGTTTTTGTCAACACGGACGTTAGATTGCCGAGGGAGGAATGGATGAAAAACTGTTTTTGTATTATAATAGTTTTGTTTGTGGAAACACTACGTAAATTTATTACTACAAAGCTTTCGATCCGTAAACCTGGATCTTCATCAGTGCTAAATAATATGAAATAATATGTAATAATATGTAATGTAGGTGCAAGAATCTTTAAGTTCCTTTCTCTTGCCTTACAGGTCACGATTTAAACGCGCTTCGATTTTCATTAGATCTTTATTACACATATACGGTTTAAACTACAAATACAAAATTACAATAATATAAGCTATAGAGTAGAGATTCCTTTACAGTATATTACAAATAAGGTACTTACTCTTATGACCTCTAGTATCCTTTGTGAACGATGTTCCTTAAATATATTGAGCGATGTTCAATAACGATTTTCGATATACCTTGACTTGTAACAAACAGTTTTCAATTTGTTCTACAGGGTGTCCCAAAAAAAACGAAAACTATTGAAATCACCAATAACAATTTGATTGTTAGAATTTGAATGCCTTAGCACTCTGTTGGTTCCCACGAGTGCATAAATGATGGACATAAGTAAATTTTATGCATAAAGAAACTGTTTAAGAAGCTGTTTTTAATTCCCAGGAGCAGAAAATCGCGCACTTTACCAGGAGATATTCCTAACTAAATTCTAATACATGCGCCTTGTCAATATTTTACGCATCATTACGTCCAGCTGTTTGGTATAGGGCATTCAAATTTAACAATAAGTGATTTCAATAGTTTTCGTTTTTTTGGGGAAGTATAGTTCGCACCCACGCCTTATATACATTGTAGAGTGCAACCATCTGAGACGATTTGAATATATTAATTATAATTTACTTTATTATTACTTTAACAAAGCGTCTGCATTAATGCAGTTATGTGTAATATGTTAGCACTGATGAAGATCCGGGCTTACGGATCGAAAGCTTTGCAGTAATAAATTTACGTGCTGTTTCCACAAACAAAACTATTATATGTTTTATCGCCATGCAAACATACAAAGAGCTTATTGTGTTTGTATTAGTTTGTGCTAATCTTCAACACATATGACTAAACGTAAGATTTTTAAAGTTTTTTGCTTCCATTTATATACGAGGGCTATGATGCAAAATTGGGCCAAAATTAGTTATACCAATTTTCAGGTTCGTCCGTGTTGACAAAAACGTCGCTTGCTTAAGCTCACTATTACCAGTAAAGGACAACAAGCAAGAAAGCCAACAAATTTGTTTTTAATGGTAAGGGAATGCCCTGGGAACGAGGCTGTTTGAAATATTACACAAAATTCTGAAAATAAAGGAATTGTCAGATCGCCGCTTTCCCTTCACACAAGCTACTATAAAGTAAAAAACAAATTCCGAAAATACAGGACATCTTGAGAATTCAATATATAATTCAAAACAAGACGCAGTTTGAGACTGTAAATTTTCGACTTTATTTCAAAGTCATCTTCAGACAGAAAATTCATTCTGTCTGAAGATGACTTTGAAATAAAGTCGAAAATTTACAGTCTCAAACTGCGTCTTGTTTTGAATTATATATTGAATTCTCAAGATGTCCTGTATTTTCGGAATTTGTTTCTTACTTTATTTTTTTAAATTGTCGGCTGGTCATGGTTTTTGGACAAGCTACTATATACGTAGGCAATGAGATATACCAATTTTCCAAATTTAAGATCCGCTCCAAAATATTTGTCATAACAAGGGCGAAGAATGTTCTCGACCAATCAGAGCATTTATTTACCTTTTGGAGCTGAGCCAATCAGAACGCGCACATTTTTACGACTTCCGGTTTGGACGCGTATTTCAACACGAAAATTAGGGTCGTAAATAAAGCCTTGGAGGCGCCTGGTTTTTTAATTTCTTGGGCTTATTTCAATGAAATCCTATAATATAAAATTTTCGAAAAATTTGCCGCTGGGATTTGCGTTTCATCGCTTAGTTTTGAACTTATCCGCATTCAAAAAACGGCGTATGCAAGGTCACTCTGGAATAGGTCAAAAACGTGTTTGTATGATTCTAAAGGAAGTGCAACGAAGGCGTATATCCGGAAATATTTAAAAGACAATAGCAACGAAAATTTTTATTGGCTATTTCAATTCTACTTGACGACCTAACTATGAAAATACTATCGTTTCCTTCTCGAACATTTTAGTCTACGAGTAAAATGCATGCAAACTTTGTGTTTCGCCGCCATCTTGGAAAAAATTTTGAAAAATTATCTCGAAGGTCAATGAACTTTGTGACGTCATTAGATGGAAAGCACCAAAACTACAAGAGAGAATTTGGGGGGATTTTTAAATTTTAAAACTATTCTTAAAATTATCGTGTTACCATGACAACTACTTCTACTCTTCATATTCAGAAAACATAATGTTTTATCAGTAAGGCGAGGGTTTCTGCATGCATGTATTTTCTAGTATTATAATTATGAACCACAGATGTTTTTTTGAAAAGTTCTTGTAGAGTTGTTGGCGAGTCTCCGGTTGATATATCGTATAACACGTTAGCAGATTCTTTAATATACATCATATTACTAGGAAGAGAATTTGAAGAAACAAACAAGGGGATTGCATGATTATCAAATGATTTAAAATACATCAGACGTAAAACGCGTTTTTGTAATATAAGAAGTTCAGTTAATGAATCCATTTCCCCATGCAGACAGTCCATACGAAAGATAAGGCAAAATTAAGGACCTATATATATATATATATATATATATATATATATATATATATATATATATATATATATATATATATATATATATATAGGACGGTATGATTTGGAATAAAATATCGCAATTTTGAGATAATCCCAACATTTTTACTAATCTTTAATGCAATATAGTCAATGTGATGCTTCCAACTTAAGTGGCAATCAATAATGATACCAAGATACTTTATAATATCTTTGCATTCAAGTGGTATGTATTGCTTAGAATTATTATCACACATGCTAATTACTGGATGATAATTTACTGATTTCTGGGGTGGGCGTAGACTTTCCAAAGTCCGCGGTTCGTGGTTCCTGGAAGCGACGGACTTTTGTCATCCGCAAGCTCGCCAAATTCACCGGTGCATTTTTGCTCCGGTGACGTCAGTGAATGCTTATTATTATTCTGTACTAACGACGCCATTTTGTAAAATTTATATTTAATATAAACAGACGCGAATCGTCGAAAATTACTGTAAGAATCTCTAGCTAAAAAATAAAATGGATATAAATTCAAAAGTAAAAGGAGCTATAAGTTATGGTAGTCAAAAACTGGGTTATCAATCGTTTAGAGAAGTTCAACAGTAAGTTGTCGAAGCCTATATTATTGGAGAAGATGTGTTTTTTTGCTTGCCTACGGGTTCTGGGAACAGTTTGTGCTTTGAGATAGCACCCTATGCACTTGAGTGCATGCAATATGGTTAATTTTATATGCTTGATTTTCGCGCCAAATTTTTCAGTAAGATTCAAACTCAGGCAAGTGACACAAGTCGCTCGCTTCCGTCTTTCTCAAGCGCTCCCTTCTTGCTACGCGCGGTCCCTAGCGAGCGACTTGGGCAAGTCTAGGGTGGGCGAAAAATAACAAAATTTGATTTTTTTATATTAAGCGTAAGTTTGTTGGCATTAAGCCATTTGCAAACATTATTCAATTCAGAATTTACAACAGATTCAAGTGTTTTCAAGTTTTTATTAGCATATAGTAGGTTGGTATCATCCGGCGCAAAAAGAAAAAAATTAAAAACGTTTGATGACTCAGAAATATCGTTTATGTATATTAAAAAAAGTAGAGGCCCAAGGACTGACCCTTGAGGTACTCCACACAAAGTGGTTTCTCTATCAGATACACAGTTTCCAATCAGAGTTGTTTGAGAGCGGTGTTTTAAGTAGGAAGAGAACTGTAGTCATTTGCCACTCCCCTAATACCGTAATGATTTAATTTACCCAACAGTATATCGTGGTCTACCGTATCAAAGGCTTTCTTCAAGTCTATAAATATACTATACCGCTAGCCCGCGTGCAGGCTCAAGGGAGCAGGCTCAAGGGAATTTGATAGTGGGCCTGCAAGCAAGGCCCGGTATTTTGTAAAACGCCCCTTTTCATAACACGCCCCATTCGCGCGTCAATTGTCAAAAAAGAACCAATGACAGCACCCAAATATTAACAAACAAACTCGCATTAAAATGTTGCGGGGTTTTCTCTGCATATTCAGAACATAAACAATGTGTAAATGGCTGCGTTTTAACTCCAAAAAAGCAAGCAACGCAGTCAGTAATTGCCAAATTTGCAAGTGCTCATTTTCAACTAAAATCGGAAGAGGCAAATTAGGACGAATTTCAACAGAAAACCAGTCTCAAACTTCAAATCGTGAGGGAAGTCGTGCGACCACATTAGCATTTATAATGTGTGTTTCGCTGTCGCCGTTGGCATTGTTATAAATAAATTGTCTCACTTATCAGATCGTGTGTGCAATTCTTGTTGGCGGCGGAAAGTACGAAATTTATTTCAGTTATTTCATTTGGTAAAGAGCTCTACAAAAGAAGAGAGCGTTCAGAGTCCAGATCGTTTCGTTTCAAACGGCAATTTAAATATACCGTCTTCTGTTTCGTTCTCTCAGCGAAGCCTTGTAAATCGCAAAGTGTTTCTAATAGGCTTACATGCAACTGCATCTCAACATCAACCAAAAGATAATTTTCTTGAGGAACATATAACGTATCAAGTCTGTTTGAAATTAATGAAACTCAAGTAAAGGTTACTATAGTTTACCCCAGTCGTAATGAGTGCTATTCCAACACCTCACGACAAGCAATCCCCATTGGCATAACGGCAAAAACATCTCTTCCTTCTAGTAAACAATAAACAGTCTGTTCTTGTTCCATTTATAATCGAAAAAAGTGATCAATTTTCGAATTTTGAGCTTATCGAGAGCCTTTGTGATGAATCACTGACCTAATTATAGAATCCAACAGCAAACAGCCAATCAGAATGCCGCGTTCGTGGGCGAACGCGGAAAGTACAAAATACCGGGCCTTGCTTGCAGGCCCACTATCAAATTCCCTTGAGCCTGCTCCCTTGGGCCTGCACGCGGGCTAATATACCGCTGGAATAAAGTTTATTATCCATGTTAGTTTGGATTTTGTTAACAATGTCGAGAATTGCATGTTGTGTAGAATGTTGTTGACGGAAACCATATTGTGAGGGACACAACATATTTTTCATATTTAGATATTTGTCTAAACGTTTATACATGATCTTTTCAAAAATTTTATTAAATACCGATGTAAATATATATATGTAGCTAATGTAAATATATGTAGCTAAAATTAGTAAAATATATTTATATTTAACTAAACCTTACGCCTGTCTCTTGTTGTTAGTTGCGCAGGCGCTTCCCTCCAAATAGTAGGAACAGAACCTGGTTTGAGTCGTCGTTGCAAACCATCCAAATGAAATAAACGCTCAAAACAATCCGTTGAAAAATGGTCCGAACAAATCATGAATCGAATTTCTCGCAAGTTTGACTAAAAATTAGCGTGCTTAGTTCGCACAAATCTAACACATATTCTTCTCAAGGATTCGTAATTTGGGCTCTTATGCCGTGATACTGACACCCGCGTGTTTGTCAGAAAGAAGTATTGCTGCAATCTTGCACAACACAACACGATGAAGGCATGATCTAGTTTTACTAACTTTTAACTGTAGCTGTGAATAGTCGTGTATATATTTTTATCTTGCACGCCCAGCATATGTCCAGACTCCCGGACACTTGAACTTTCCAATATGGCAGATTTTAATGGCGGCCGCCAAAATTGGAACTTCATTGTCGTAAAACTCAGGCCAAATATGAGATATCACGCTAATATTTTGCGAGACAGCTTCTTTATACGCACTCTTCACAATCATGGAAAAAACAAAAATGAAAATTTGGTCACAGTCGCATTCTAAGTATTATACATATACTATTGCTATTTATCTATAAACACAAGAATAAGTAGTATTTAAATATGCATACAGTAATAATCTAAGGTGTGTCCTTCAGAAGTGCTGTATAATCGAATAATAATTCAGCATTCTCACTTCAAATACAGAATTTCTTGGAATATATCCTTTGATTTTAAGTATTATACAATAATATACTATAGATAGTTATCTATAAAGACAAGTACTGTACTATTTAAAAATGCAGTAATAATCCAGTGTATGGCCTTCAGTCAATGCTGTATAACGAATAATAATAATTTATATAACAACATAAAACATCTCTGTTCAACACGGGGCGAGAAAGAATGAATTCTGTTGACAGCCGCTGCACTTGTTCATCAGTAAGTAGAAAGGAAAAAATGTTATTTCGTAGTTATCTAACCCCGTAGCGCCTGGAAGTAAACATCTGTTTCATGATTTTCCAAGATTCACATCTGAGTAGTGGTCTGGACCAAAAGAATATCACTGAATTGATGCTTGAATTCATAAAAGTGAAAACCGTTGCCCAGGAACGTAGCATCATGGATTCATGCTTGGTACGGCCAAGTACTGCTGGGACAGCTCCCATGAAGAAACAGAGAAAAAAGCACGCCACGACAAGAAAACAAGATTTTGCCAGTCTTATGTTCTTTAAGAATTTTCGTTCATTTTTGTTGTCCGATGCAGTATTCTCAACCACATTTCCAGGCTGTTCTCGTCTTCTTATGGCGAGAAAAATTTTTGTATAGACAGATATAGCGAGGAAGAGAAAAATCAGAAGAAACATTGAATAAAAAATTGACAGCATTTTAGACTGCAAAAAGGATAAAGCAAGAACCACAAGCACCACTAATACCCCCACAGACACAAATGACAAAAGTCTCTTCTTCGTAACAAGTGTTCGATGTTTCAAAGGATGTAACACACCAATATATCGTTCTACCGTCATGGCGGTCAACGTTAACACTGAAAACAGACCGATAGCCGCAACTACTCGTATCAGGAAAATAATTCTAATGCAGTGCGCAGAGCCTCCTGTTTCCTTAAAGCAGATATAGCTTAACAAAGGCAAACTAATAAATCCAACTGCTAAATCACAAACTGATTGCATCATTACCATGAAATAGGGTATCTTTTCTTTCAGCTGAGGACATTTCATTATGGTGACCACAGAAATGGCATTTAGTAGTACAGTAGGTATGATAAGTATCATTAAAACCACGCATGCGCTATATTGGTTGATAGAGAATGCCTTCGATGGATGCTTTAGAGGCACTTCATACTTGGCATTCAGCAAAAAACAGTCTTCAAAAAATCTTGAGCTTTCGTTTCCGGTATTCATTCTTCATCCACGACCTTTTATCTAAGATGTGTCAAATAACATTATAATCGAAATGCTTGATGCTTTACATTTTATACCTGTCAGATTTAATTGAAACATCTGGTGATAATGAGTCCGGCGACATGCGAAATTGCTGTTTTTAATGGCATGCATACTGTTTTTAATGTATTCAGCTGGCGAGTTCCCACATTAGGTATATTGGTAAATGATGCTGACGTTTTATATGTGCAATCGTACGAGTGCCGACAAATTATCTCAATATCCAGATCATTGTTAGGTTCATTCAATATAAAAAGGTTCTCAAAAATACTTCTTATCACATGCATTTAATTTATTATAACAGGTGAATGAAAAGTGATGCTTTATATTTTTAGGAATATTCGCCTGGTTTATGTTGCTGTCATGTATTACGAGCCATGTGCTACGCTCAAGACAGACAGATTAAATATTTTCACTGCTACTTATTTTGCTATTTAATAGTTTTATTCATTTTAACTTTTAACTTATAATTACAATCCCAAATGCTTAGATCTTCTTATATTTCTAAAATTATTCATTAATATCGCTTGAAATTTACGAATCTCAAAATTTTTTAAATAATTGAACATACTATACTACTAACAACCGTCTTTTAAACTTTGGTAATAGAAAACACAAAATCCATTATTTTCGAAAGGCAAATTTCTTTCTTGTTCATGCATGAAATATATGACTAATTTGAAATCGATTGTAGCTAAATGCAAAAGATGATTATATGGAGCACATAGCGTGCAAATCTATATATACACCTAATCAAAATACTCCCTTTTCCGAAAATATATTTATTATACTTACTTCAATCGCGACAACACCGGTATATATTTTAACCCGATTATAAAATCGAAATAGCAGTTCTCTGCGAAGCCAATCAGATCTCTCCTTTTAGTCGTCTAACTCAGAGCCTAATTTTGAAGGAGTGACTGAGTGAAAATGGCTCTGGGGATTTTTAGCTGTTCTTATTTAAGACATTTTGGACAAAAAGTGTAACTCAGTGCACATGCCCGAAACTTGAAACAACGTGAAATTATCAGCCTTGCATATTAAAACAAAAACAACCAAAACAACATTATAGCTATATATATATAGCATGTAAATAAGACTATAGAGCCGTAGAGAACCATTAATTTATACGATATAATTCCGCTTATATAAGACGCGTCTTATGTAAGTCGCGACTTATTTTGTCCCGTATAAACGGCCGTAATATTGCCTGCTCACCCTTCTAAACGTCCCAACTATTCCGCCACTCGCCGCATGACTGGAGCGGTGTTTGAAACGGGCCTTTTTCATAAGTACTAGCCGACTTTTTTCTGTGTTGGTGTTATGTACTCAGGTGAATATGATGTTTGTGTTATTACTCTGAGTGAAAATTCACACCGGACAAGCTTGAAGAATATGCCTGGCCGACTTGTTGCTGCATTTTATCTGTAGGTTGTTGGATACAATGAAGTTGGATGTAACGAAGAATAGAACAGTACACGTTTTGTGAATGTAGTATTGCCGCGAAAGGCAAGAAAATTTTATAACCCCAATTTAATAAAAAAATCGATAGTTTTCTACTTGGACTAGCTACGCTCAAAAGCTCCAAACACAGCATATCATTACTCAAATGACTACTCAATAAACTTTCACACTAACGGCACATTAACCAATAAAATCTATTCATTTATTTAGACTGCGTTCACACTACAAGGGGGCGAAATAAAGACGGCACTATGTCTGAAGAAACTGTACAAAAGGCGCTTGTGTGATGTTACTCTGAGTGTATATCCACATCGGGCAGGCTTGAGAAATATGCCTGGCCACTGTGGGAATCGAACCTACGACCATTGGAATACTAGCCCAATGCTCTGCCAACTGAGCTACGCGGTCAGGTCGGTTCGAGTATGCGATATTTCGGAACTGAGTCCAGTTCCTTCGATATCAGTGTAATCTAATAATCATGTTATTTGCTGTGTTATGATATTTGGTGTATAATGTACTCAGGTGAATAAGATGCTTGTGTGATGTTACTCTGAGTGTATATCCACAACGGGCAGGCTTGAAAATTATGCCTGGCCACGGTTTGGCAATATTCCAAAGGCTATAGTTTTCCAAAGGTCGTAGGTTCGATTCCCACCGTGGCCACTGGCATATTTTTCAAGCCTGCCTGGTGTGGATATACATTCAGAGTAACATCGCACAAGCATCTTATTCACCTGAGTATACATTACACCAACACAGCAAATTTATATCATGTACAAAAGGCGTTAGAGTTTCGGTGCGGATTCGCAAAACGAGCTCAAATAATGAAAAATATGTAATTATTAAGAATTAAAAATAAATAATAATAAAAAAATCATGGAGGCGGTGCCACAGTTGACACGAAGTCATCATAAGTGTTCCGTGTTCTTCCAGCTGCGTTTAGAAAGCGTGCTCAAAATGTAACGGCAAAATGACGTTTTTAAACAATTTCGCTCCGTCATAGTGCGAACGCAACGGCTAATTGTGACTTTTCTTCATCGTTTTTAAACCGCTCCGACATAGTGTGAATATGGTCTTTAAGTGTCGAAATGAATGACGAATTAGTTCTCAGCGATCGCAGATATCACACGAGATTTAATTGACTCTGATCAACATGCTTACAAAGAAGGATATAATGCAACAATGGCCCTAATTAAATGCCAACATATGTGCAAAAAAATCAGGTAAAATGACAGGTGCAGGGGAAGAAAATCGAAGACATTTATTTCGCAAAACAAAGCTGCCGTGGCCTTTTGTTTTTCTCTTACTCCCCTAAACACTGTCCCCAATTTTTGTCCATTTCGGGAGGATGATTACAAATCTATAATTTTGGTTATTGATGTTGAATTGTAAGATTGCAACTAACAACTTGAAGGTTTATACGATATTGCTGAATTTAATGTCTGTAACACGTTGTTGAAAAACTTGTAGCAAGTTTGTGAAATCTTTTGAATTGTAGCAATTTCAAGTCGTTGAAAACTTGTCAACAAGCTGGGAACAAGCAAAAGTACAATCAGCTCGTTGTAACCATATACAATGTTACGGGGAGTTATTATTTTCAGACTTTCGTAATTTTGTATTCTTTTGTATTTTAAACTTCACCCTAACCCTTACTCTAATCCTAACCCTAATCATAACCCTTTCCCTAATCCAAACCCTAAACCCTAAAAGTCTAAAAATAGTAACTCCCCCTAAAACGTGAATTAGAGTGTTAGTTTTCCTCAGTTTCGTCACAACTTTCTTCATCACTCTCGCTTCCTGATTGGTCACTGCTACTGTTCCCATTATTATCACCAGGTAACAAACTGACCAATACACGAAATCGACCTTTTACCTAAACAAGAAACAAGCCAACTTTACATTTGCTCGCACCTATATCACGACCATGCCATTATGACCAATTGTGATACTCCAGAGTTTGGCAAATACAACGGCGACGTCAATGAAGATGTGCTCATCAACAATTATAGCATTTTTACTCTAAGACAGGCAACTATAAATTGTATTCTATTTTTGTCCTTATCCTTGAGCATTCTAGTTCGCTGTAGTTGTTCAAACTGCTACGTCATTTGCATCATTTTCACGGCTCATAACAATGCCAACAGTTAAAACATTTCTAATTGCTATACTGTGTAGATTGTTTGGTGAATTAACTGACTATTGCTACTTAAGGGATTAAAAAATGCAAGTACTTTTAAGATGAAAATAAAGCTTGGTAATTATGCTTTGGCTCCGATACAAAAATGTAAGTAATTTTGTTCTCTGTCGTTGCCGCGGTTGCTAATTAGCCTTTCTCACGCCGCCATTTTTGGGGCACTTTTTTGCCAATCCTGCGAGCGTAAAACGGCGACATTTTATAATTTTGTGGGTGTATGATGGTAAATTTATTCTGCAAATAGTTAGTTTGTTCTGAAATATTGCTTTTCACATTGTTATAATCGTTTACGAAAAATTACAGTATCCCCAAAAATGGCGGCGTGAGAAAGGCCAATTGTGTCACTCCCCATTGTATTAAAAACAGTTTGATATATATTTTTTCTTTTAGACACTCCAAGACTGATTTGCATACAGCATATAGAAGACAAGATAGATCCAGACAATTGACACGTATCACACGATGATTACGACACTCCATCTCAAACTGACGTACAGTTATTCGATATTACTGTTAGTGTGGAAGAAGTCGTGAACAATTTGCGCAATTTAGATGTAACCAAGGCACATGGTCCTGACGGAATTCACCCTCGCTTATTGAAGGACTGTAGTGAACAAGTTGAACCAAGTTTGTGTGCGTTATTCAATCATTCTCTGAACCGCAGCAAGGTACCCATAGAATGGAAGGCTGCGAACATCACACCTGTTCATACGAAGGAGTCAAAGCTGAGAACTTTCGTCCTATCTCGCTGTTGATTCAAGATTCTCGAACGCTCTGTATGCAGCAATCTGTCCAACCATATATCCCATATAATCACTAATGAACAACATGGCTTCATCAGAAACCGATCGTGTGTGACACAACTTCTCTTTGTTTTCCACGCTATCGGCAAGAGATGGACAAGAGCATCCAAGGTTTTTTTATATTTGGACTTCGTCAAAGCATTCTACTCAGTGGTTAGCGCACTTGCCTTTCAC